TGAATTTTAAATAGGGAATAATTTTTAAAAATTTTCAAAGATTTTAAATATGACACAGCTATTAATATATTTGCTTTTAATTGGTTTTATAGGGGAAATGTTTTTTTTTGTGTTGTTTTTTAACATGCTGTGAGCCGCCCTGAGTCCCTCTGGGGAGAAGGGCGGCATAGAAGTTTAAATATAAATAAAATAAATAAATTAAGAGGCAATCCCCCCTCCCCACTCACACAGCCTGTTCCTCCCCGTCTTTTAAATATAATTTTATCTTGATTGGGAATTCCATTTTGATTGCTATAGAAATATTTATCTGTTAGGATTATAATGTTTTAATGGCTGTAAGCTGCCTAGAGTCATTTTATCATGAGATGGTGGCCAATAAATTTAATAAATAAATATATGTTTCGGTATTATACCTAATTTTTAAAAATGTGATTTTATTTTGAAGGAGATCCCTACAATTCTCTGAAACATGCTATGTGTGTCTTTCCCGTCTCGGGGCATTTCCAGCATTTATTCCTGTTGGACTTGTGCAATTTGATGATGGAAACTGATCCCAACCAGGAAGGATTTATGTTTTTCCATCTTTCAGGATCCCTTTTAATTTCTTGCTGCAATTTGCTTTGGAAATGACTTAAAACAAATAATATTTTTAGGAGTAAAAAGGGCTCTTGGCCTGAACTAACCCACTTGGTCTCCTGTTCTGGCCCCTCCTGTTTCTCCCCCATGTCCCTCCTCCCCTCCAGCCAAGCCCACTGTCTCCATCTCTTCCACCAAGCTGGATCCCGCTTCCCCCCACACCATCCTCCTCTGCACCGCGAGGAGCTTCTACCCCGTGGAGATCGAGGTCCGGTGGCTGAAGAACGGGCGGCCGGAAGAGGAGGGCGTGGCCTTCGGGGAGGAGCTCCAGAACGGAGACTGGACCTACCAGCTCCAGGTGATGCTGGAGACCCAGCCCCAGCGGGGGGACGTCTACACCTGCCAGGTGGGGCACGCCAGCCTGGAGGCCCCCATCACCGTCCAGTGGGGTGAGCCCCTCCCCTC